TTTTTTTTTTTTTTTTTTCTCATAAAACATGACTAAAAATAAATTTTAAGCATGATAAACACTGAAACTTTAGACGTCTGTATTTTTAAATTTTTACCGACGATAACAAACAGAAATGCCCTATTGGTAGGGTTATTACAAGAAAACGGCTTATCATTCATATCTACTGGCTCAAAAAAGTTTTTGCAATTAGTGTAATTGCTAGACTGGAATTTAGGTTCAATAATTATCTGTTAGTCGTACATCGTCCTAACACCAGATTTTAATGGTTTACATAATTATTTTTGACGTTTTTGTTTACAAACATTCATTGATCTTGCGTTTCTCCATAGGATTGTGGTTTTAAAAAAATCAGACAGAACTGTTTAAAAAAAAAAAAATACAGACTGTCTGATTAACCAAACTAGATTTATACAAAACAAACGTTTCTATCATCCAACTATTCGTGTATACAAAGGTCAATACCACTGATCAGTTGCACAGCAATCAGTTTAGCAGCCGTTGTTTTGCCAAAATATGATCTGTAGATTTTGTTGCAGAATGTAACTTCAAAGTTTATTTTTAGATAATGATCAATTCATAGAGCAATCAATGAACAGTTCAGACTGTTAAATGGTTCTCTAAACATGAAGTCGCAGTTCGTAAACGGAAAAAAAATAAAATTGTTTTCTTCAGTTTTGTTGCAATTAACTACAGTTCAATCCAGAATTTATTGGTGAGGAAAAAATTATTTTTCTTCAACTTACAGTATGCTATATGTTTGTCTTATTACTGTAACAGAATTGAATTCAATTGCGTGGGCGGAAAAAGATAATGTCATCAATAACTAATAACGTTTTTATCAATTAAAATTTACTAATTTTTAATTAAAAAATTTACGCAATGATCTGTCACAGTGGCTACAATTACAAATATCACTTTTGCTTTGATAACCAAACTTTGTATCGCCTAACTTACTATCATCATTTAATGACTTATTTAAGACGCATCCAACAATCAGCTCAAAATTATTCTCTCAGCACTTTCACTAATCTCCTTTGAGATCCTCAAACACCCTACACAGTCCTTGTTCAAAATCATCCGGCAAAACCAAACATGCTCTTGGTAGACCCGTCACACTGCACACACCAAAAACAAACTTTTTCGACGATTTATATGCGTTATTTTGCCGAGCAGAACTTTTGGCATTAGAAAGCAAAAACTGTACTTTCAGATATTCAATAATATCTTCAAAGTAAACTAACTTTCAGCAAAACCGATATAACGACAAACGCAACGAGCGACAGATAAATATTACAAACAACTATTTCTAAAGCTTTCCGTAGGCCTAAAATAATAGCTTGCGTTGCTGTTAGTGCCTAACGAGTACCGACACCGGTACTGACAGATGTCCTGACAGAAGGTACTCGACAGTTCCAAACTTCAAAGCAAATTTATGAGGGTGCAGAAGTTACAGAAGAGCTGCTACCAAGACGCGCTCAAAGACTTTTGCACGCAAAAATTAACGAATTTTCACGAAGCCCGCTGCTCAGATTCAGACCGTTCTACCACCCCAATACAGATTTGTACAAATAATGCACATTCAAAACCATTTCGTCAGAACAAATATTTCCACTTTTGCTTGATTTGACCATAATATCGACTTCAACCAAAAGAATCATTTCAGAATATAAATGTAGTAACAGGTAAATGCATTTGTAATGCCGATATTTTATTTTAAAATACACCCAGTTACAACACTGCGAATAACTTCGCTGACGTTAGCATTTCACGTAGCTTGTCGGACTCAGAAATATTAGCAAGTGAAGAACAATAAAAACACGAACCTCCCAAAAGTCTCTATTTTTGAGGCACGATCCCTCACGACAACAATAAAGTATTTATGAACTCTAAAAAAGTTCAGGAGGAAACCCTAATACGCTACATGTAGCAAAAGTTGACAATACGAAACAGTAAATTAAAATGAACTTTTAAGGAAAGAAAAACAGAAAGAATTGTTTAATTGAAATCAAGCACTCTCTTTAATGAAAAAACAACTTCTTTCAAGCACAAAATCAGGAAAAGCTGGAATATATAAATGTCGATTTAGTCTCCAGACTATAACAAGGTTCGTAAATACACGAAGAATAACTTCAAGATTGGAGTTCAAGTTAAGAAATAAGTCAAAATGACAAAAAGACACAATGACAGAACTATGTATTAGAATACTTCTTTTTAAAATAACAACAATCACAAACTCATTCGAACCGCTTACGTACCCGAAATATTTACCAACTAAAAAACTACTGAACTGTGACTAAATACCCGTCACGAGAAATAATTACATTATCCTTCACCAAAAAACCCTTAACTGCTACTAAAGTTTCACTTACCAAATTAAAGTAATTTTTGGCCTTGTAAAGCAAAACAACAACTAAACAGAAACAACTCATAACATCCAGCGAAATATAAAAAAGATAACCCGTTGTGGAACAAGATTCTAAAAGTATTCACAAATGTTCAAATGTTTCCTATCTAGAATATCTGCAAAAACGCAATTCATTCCAATTAAAATCAATGAGCAACTGTATAACGGAAGGTTTAAGACAGAGAGAACTGTACATTCGCAGCCAATCTCACATTTCATCACCTGGAGGTACCTTATGCTTGCTCCATGCTTGGAAGCATTTAGTGAATCTCTTCGACTCTCTTCCTTTCAGGCTTAAAACTAGTTTCCTTGGCCGATCCGGCTGTTTCATTAACATATGAGCTACATATACCTAGAAAAAAGACACGTTATCTCAGAAGAAATAAACTCAGCCAAAATATCAGTGACGGTGATTACCTGAGCAGCTTTATATGCCAATTTCAGTTCAACCTCACTTGCATGCGCACCCATCCATAAGAACACCAAAGTCCCGTTATCAAGGATCATGATATCCGCATCATCCAAATCATCCTTAAGTAAAGGAGAATTTTTATTCCAATAAAAGGTGTTTCTACAAATCTTCAAGCCTTTAAAACAGTAATTTTTTGTGTGAAAGTGCAGTGCCTTACTATAAAACAAAATAGTTTCAACATGCACACTTCCGTTCAATATCACCTGCACGTGAACAGATTTCAGACGTCTCAAATCTGCTGTCTGCGCAGGTCCCAAGCTTATGAGTTAGAAAAACAAACTCCAAAACTGCAGAGAAACAGGTTGCAGACTGATCACCTGGCAAAAATCAACAGTTTTTTCAGACACGGCAAAAAATCCCTTCTCATTTGTACATCTAAAGAGGCGGGTATGTTGCAGGAAATCGCCATCTGTATCATATTTCTTTTTGCCGCCGAGACACTCCCAAAACGTATCGTCTTCCTCTCCCTCTTTTACTACAACAACTGGAAACTCGTCATTCCTGTTGATCAGCTCCTTCGCTACCTAAACTTACCAAATACATATTGCTTTCACGCAAATTATTAAGTGAAGAAGCATAAGAAACCTCTTTTGTTGAATTCATCAATCAAAATCAAACCTGTTCAGCCAACTCATGATGTATTGGATTACTTTTACTTCCTATCCAAACATACACCTTCCCTTTTAGTCCTTCAGCATCTACGCACCGAAAAGGAGCTCGAAGTATATAACAAAACGCAGAATTGAGCTGATCAGCTCTGCAGTCAATTTGGATTGTTCGAGTACAAACAGAAGAGCCATTCGCTCTCATATTGAACAGTTCAGGCCAATGACCTAAACAACCAGAGGTTGCCAGAAGCACAATTTTCACACCTTCACGTACGTACTGAAAAACTATCAAGCTAAATATTATAGTGGTATCTTAAGTGGAAAGTACCTCCAAGATTCAAGTTCAGGCCTCTTCTGCCACGTCTGATAACAAACTTTCTATGGAAATGTGACAAAAATTTGTGGTTTTCTTGTTGTTGATACATCCGAACTACCTCCAGTTTGTCCTTGAACAAGCTTTCAAATTTCTTCTGAAATAAACTTTTGTTCAGATGGAATAAGCAAGGAAAAAAAAGAATGAGGTTTAATAAAAACCTGCAAACTGAAGGTGAAGTGAAGCCAACCCATATTATTTGCATCTCTTCCCTGCCAAAAGTAAACAACACATTTAAAGTCTTCCTGTTTTTCCTCCTAAAACAAATAAAAAAGTTCAGTGTCAAATCAAGCCAAAAACAAGAATTGTAAATAATGAAACTGATAGACACCTTGTTACCGTTCCTGTTGCCAGCTTCACCTCTAGAACCTTTTTCATCATCCTCCCCAGCTTCGTCTTCCAAATCAGTCTCTTCATCTTCTGGAAATACTTCATACCGACAAAGAAACACGTAGCAATCCATAGTGTAAAATGTCCCCAGCTCTGTCTGTGGCAGTCTTACGAACTTTTTCCCTTCCTAGAATTTTTAAGTAAAAAGTCAACTGAATCAGGAGTAGACCAACAATTCTCAAAATAATACGAATGAAATTGTTTCAACAGAACAAATAATTACAAGCACAAATGGCTCAAGCAACTGCAAGTCTTCATTGCATTCTTCCATCACTTGATTGGCTTCTTCTTCATTCATTGAAGATTGTCTCGGAAGAAACAAAGAAGACAAATCGGCTTTTATTTTATCGCGTTCCATAATAACCTCAAAATAATCGCGTAAACAAAAAAAGCGAAAAAATCAAAAGAAAAGTCCCAAAAAGGTTTTGATTTTCAGAAACCCAGCAAAAAAAAGCAATACTTTGAGATCTGCACCACGTCTTTGTACGCTATCTGCTGTGCGCGTGAAATCAAAAGGTACAATGTCATCCCATCCTTGAAACTTCGACCTAGATCCGAAACTACTTAGCATCACGCAGTAAAACAGTACTTGTAAATTAGCTGAAGTTATCAAATACCAAACAGAATCAATACCAACCGAAACATTGTTGATTCTTCGCCTTCTGTTTCACGGGATATACAAGCGTAATCTGGCCTTTCTAACATGGCGTGCAGTTCAACAACTATTTTCTAAGAAAAATAATTTTTAAAAACCTAATCAAATTCAATTCTTCCAAAGACAACAAAAAATTAAAAAAATTTTGAACATTCATAAGTATGTGGTATTATATAAAACCAACTTGGCCAGCCATCTTCAATAAACGGTTAGCCTTTTTACCCAACCAAAGATAAATATCGGAATGACAGTCAAGCACATATGCGCACTTCGTATCCAACATATTCTGAAAAAAAGTCACAT